GAGAGAGAGAGAGAGAGAGGATCCTGTCTGCCCATGGGCTGATAGAATAGTATAAGTCCAATATCTCAGATTAAATATGGGCCTATCTGATGGTCACAACTGCATTTTGTATTTGAATTCTAAGCCTTTTCTACAAATCGAGATCACATGAAATTGGAGCGTCTACTCTTCTCATTGACACACACCTAATAAAAAAATTAAAAAATTAACTCCCAGAAAAATTGACAAAAAAAAATTTTTAGGGGTAATTTTGTTATTATTTTTGGAGAATAAATTTTTAATATTTTTATTCGATTCACGTATTTTTCAAGAGTAGAGGTCCAAATTTCAAGTTATTTGGGTTTGTAGAAAAATATTACAATTAAAATGCAAAATGCAATTGCGACCATTGGATTGGCTCATCTTTAATTTGTTGGGATGTTGGGCGTTTACTGTAGCCATCAGCTAGTGGGCTGACCTCAACTACTCCCATATATATAGCTGACCTCAGCTACTCCCATATATATATATATATATATATATATATATATACTCTATTTGATAATTTAGTTGGTCAAGTCTTGACTGATGAAGCGGACCCCAAATAGTTGGGATAAGGTTTGGGTGATGATGATGAACTATTGACTAACTTGGGCATGATCTTGAACATGGAGTCCATAGCCATATTTAGGCATATGTGGAAACAAATTTTATCATGCTCAATACCAATATTGTGTCACCAAATTTTAACTGAAAAACCTGCTGGTCTAGTGTGACACCACTCAAGTTTTGGTGAAACCAGTCTAATCATCACCATCATCATCCGAGTCTTATCCCAACTATTTGGGGTTAGCTTGATGAAACTAATCTAATCGCGATGATGGTAAACATCTGTTGGGCCTATGCCACCCATAGAAATTTGAAAACCAATGGTCGACTCTCTCTGTCTCTCTAAAATGTGATAGAATCTAAAAGTGTGAGTACCAGTTTCATGCTTATCGCTTGATTCATCATTAGAGTTCAATTGTGTGGTCGGTGTGTGATCGTCAGACACTTAAAAAGAAGTATTTCTTTGACATTCTATGCTATGTTATTCTTTTACTTGTATCTCTTGACATATATTTCTCTTAATGATGATTTGACATACACAGCTACTTGATTTAAGAATTTCACTGCAGTTTTGAATATTGTGGTTTTAGAATTATATGTTGAATAAATAAGATTTTTTAGGTCCAAACTATATCATGCTTTCTTGTAATCGTCCATCAACAAAAAAATATTTAAGGTGTGGTTTTGCTTTCATGATGTCCCAGTGAACAAAAGATTGGTCTATGATGAAATAAAGAGAGCAGTAGAAAGAGATCGGTCATTAGTAAGAGTTTCTGAACTATCTAGGCATGGACTGATGGAAATAACAAGAAAGAGGGTATGCTTCTCATGACTTTCAGTAATTCTCTATTAATTACTTTAGCAACATTTTAGCTGAACACTGAACTATGCAAAATGATCAGGGTAGACTGTTCATATACGATTTCCAATTGATGATTCACTGTTGTCATGTATAATTTTAGAAATTGCGTTTTTCATAAATGAATTTCCTTTTCTCTTCTGTAAAATAATACTACATCATGAGTTTGGAAGAAAAAGCAATTGAAAAACCAAAGAGAAAATACCTCTCTGCTGATGCAGATTTCTAGTTTTATTAATTCTGTGACACATTTTTCTCCTGTCTGAAAATCCACCAAGATTGCAGCAGACTTGTAATTGAATAAGCATATTAACTAATTTACTATAGATTTCTAAGGAAAATGAATATCGGAAATAAATTAATAGGATGTAAATTCTCATCTCTTTAACTTAAAGGAAGAATTAAGGGCCTTCTTGGAAAACATGTACTCATATAAATGTATTATATCGTGGCTCGAGTCACTGTTCCTGATCTAGAATACCTTTGAAATTCAAAGTCTCTTATTGTTTAGTTCTCATGATTTTGAGCCTTCCCTTGCATATATGCATTCACAAAGTTTACCTATTTGTTTTAAACATTGCAGGTTCGTCCAAGTGTCACATTTATGATTAGCGAACCATGCAGTTGCTGCCATGCAACTGGGCGTGTTGAAGCTCTTGAGACATCTTTTTCAAAAATTGAACGTGAAATTTGCCGTTTGCTAGTAAGTGGTTCTTTGAGGCGAGGTTTAACAAAATCCAATCCTTTTAACTACTATTATTAGGGATATGTTTCAATAGAGCTTGATGCATCTGTCATTATGGCCTCATACTTTGTTGCATAATCTAGTGAGGCTGAATTCTTTTGAGCTGAATCAAACCTCTATTCAAAATGAAACCTTGATGGCTGGATCATATTTAAGGCAGCTGTTACAAAAAGTTGCATAGAGGTTTTATATGGATAACTCCCATAGAAATGACCTTCTATGAAGAGCGTGCGATATAAGATGAATAATTATGTAGAGGTTCTACTACGGGTGGTTTCCCGGTTTTTAAAATTGGCTCTTCTTAGGCCTTTTTTGTGTCTTAATGAGTAACTTTTATTTAAGATCAAGAGAAAGAATATTCATGCATATGGAAAGTTGTTGAGGGAGAGCCTGCCTGGTAACTCATCCCATGTCTTGTGAATCAACTGTTTCATGCGTGCCCCTAAGGACATAAATGAAGGGAATCACCTTTTGGCTCCTGATATCATGAATCTCGTCCATCACCTTTGCAGCCTCTGTGGAGTATTTCATCTACACCACTCGAGTACATTAATGGATCCCCTTCAGTCTTCGGTGCAATGTAACTATTGGCAGAAGACTCTGAGTTAGACTAGCTCTTGCTTCTGCCTTTGTGAAATTTCTGACTCTAGCTGACCCTTCAATGACTATCAAGAACCTCCATTATCAACCTTGGAGATGCCACCCACAGCCAAAGGTTCTGAATTCCTAGTGGAGCTTGGCCTGAGCTTCAAAATCCCTTACAGTGGCTTTCTCTACCGTGCTTCACGCTTCTAAAACTTTGTTTTGTTACCCTGTTCATTCTTGGATCGGATCTTCCCCACTTTGACTCCATAAGATGAGAATGTGGAATCCCTATTTCTGTTCTTAAATATATTTTTTTCCTTAAATTATATTGTGGTAATACGTTGCTGGTATTATTGTTTGTTAGGCTACAATGCGCCAGAAACCAAAGATAGAGAATGTGAAATCTTGGCCAAGGTTCATCCTAAGGGTAGATCGCTACATGTGTAACTACTTGACATCGGGTAAAAGGACAAAATTAGCGGACTTGAGCAGCTCTCTCAAAGTGTGGATCCTTCTCAAGGTATGCTTTATACACAAATTGTGTGAATTATATTTTATGTTCCTCTCATGAAATTTGAGGAGTTTATTTCTATTGATTTTCTTGATATTTCTTTAATGACATTATATTCTTGGGTTTAATTGGAGCCCTTTAAGGGGAGTGACTTGTTAAGAAATTTGGCAATTGCTACAAAAACGACCTGACCAGTGTGTTGCAATTCTTCTTTGTGCTTTTTCAAAAATTTTGATTTTGTTATAATATTTAAATCCTGCTGTCAGACCCTCTCCTTAGCATCACATTCACATGTGAGTGCCGACAAAACAAATTACAAAGGCCTGAAGATCCTGTATGAACTTTTGCTATTTTGTGTGACTTAGCTATCTCTCTTGGTGGATCAATTCTTTAGGCCAACAAACCTATATAAGGGAGGTATGACCCTAACTGACTTTCTTGGAGGCGGGTCTAGTGCGGTGCAGGATTAGATACAGATGGTGTTGGTCTAGCAGCAAGACTCCTGGTATGATTGGCAAGAAGGTGAAGACAGAAAGCTAAAATTGTGGGACTTGGTGTCTCACCAAGACGAACAAGTTGAGGCTTGGATGGTTGATCCATTGGCTGCATGACCTGACGAAACATGGGCATGGGCATGTAAGAAAGGCATGGTTGTGTCCCTTGGCTGTGGTGTTTTGACCCATAACTGCCAAGGTGTTGGATTTGAATTTGAATTGCATAATTGCGCCACAATTGGGTTTGTGTGACAACCATAGGCTATTTGAGATATTCAGTGCACAGGTAGTGGGCCTATGTGGCCATGAATAGCAGTGTGATGACCATGCATGTTTGAATTGGCATGCATGGGCAATTAATGATCTGTGAAGTGGGTTGATCAAATCATTAGTCCTCCTTATTGAGCCATGGTGGGCAGCCATTGATGGTGGGATGTGGGCTTGTACTATGACACCGGGTAGTAGGCAATAATGGCGGTTTAGGCGTTATTAGATATGTAGGTGAATGTGCAGATGCATACTCAGGTCCTTGGCTGTAAGCAAGCAAGTATATAGAATGAAATTAGAGTAGGTTCTCTATACGTTGTGTGTACCTTGTGTTCTTGTTTCACTGCATTCCTCTTGTGTGTGCTTGTCGAAGGCAGCCATCACCTTAATCTGGGTTAGACTTTGGAATGATGCTGAATGGGTTGGTTAAATGAAAAATACTGCTTTAGTGGACACTTACGGACTAATGTAAAGTAAAATCATTTTGTATCTTCTCTCAATAATTTGAAGTCATTTCCTTGTTGCCTATTTTCTCTAGGTTGGCACATCACAGACTGTGAAAAGTATAATCTTGTTTATTTTGGGTAGTTTTCATGCATAGTGCTGCTGTTTATTTGATTTTGTACAAAAGATCAAATCATTTGAAAACCTCTGACGAACCCAAAATTTCTCTTTAACTATTTCCAAATTGGCCGGACATAAACATCAAGTGTATTTCTGTTTGGCTCATTCTCGCAACCTTAATGTCTGCAGTTAAATCCATTTTATGCACACCAAAAATACACTATTTATAGAGATTGGACCAGATAGAATTGTCAAATGCATCTTTTTTATTTCTGGAACTGGAAAGCCTTTTGTTTCCATCATTAACAAAGACATTAATTCAACAAAATCCATCTGTCCCTATATGGGTGTTGTGTTTCTGCGTGGAAAACAGTTTTCTTTTTTGAGGTTGCTGGGTCCGTTTATTCACCGTATGATTCATCTTGTAGAAAATATCGGATATCTTGATCTACTGAAGGAGAGAAATCACTATTTCGTAATGTCACTTTTATTCAATCTATTATTTATCTTGTGAGAAATATTGGATAGCTGTGTATACCAAAGGGGAGAAAACATTTATCTCATTTTATATTATTTATATTTTTGTTATGCAGGTAGCAAGAGGCTTTGCGAGAGGAGCATTTGAGGTGAAACCATTTGCTGATGATAAGGGTAGTGAGAAGAACCAACAACAAGTAGACATTTCTAGACTAAAATCCACTGAGGTTGGACCTTATATTACTTCTGGCAGATTGACACTTTTCCCAGTCAAAAAATTGAGGAACAGGGGCTGATAATTCTTGATACTAGATGTTTCCAATTATGGAAATATTTGCTTTCACGAGCCACCTGAAAAAGCTGGTTGTACTTGCACGTGCATTTTGCCTTCACCTGCTAAGCTTGATCATGGTGTATGTTGTTACTTACTCAGATTTCCAATTGTGGAAATACTTGGCTCATGCTTTGTGATTTTCTTGAGTAAAAGTTGTAATCTACAGAATTTTTTTAAGCAATTTAAGGCCAAAATGTAACTTATTGAAAGTTTCTATATGAATAAGACCCTCTGGTCGTGGTGAAGGGCCTTTGTAGAAAAGAATCCTTTGTTTATAAGGGTAATCTCTCTCTCTAATAAATTGGCCATCTGGTCTTGGTGAAGAGCCTTTGTAGAGAAGAATCTTTTGTTAATAAGGGCGATCTCTCTCTCTCTCTCTCTATATATATATATATATATATTCATGTATGTGTGTATGTATGTATGTATATATGTATGTATGTATGTTTGTACATACATGCGGGCATGTGTGTGCGTGTTTTCTTATTCCTTTGTGGTGGGAGTGTGTGTTTGTCGTGCGTGCATGCATGTATGCATGTGTTTGTGTTCTTTTTCTTTTGTGGTGGGAGTGAAAATTAAGTTTCGGCCAATTGGTAGCTGTGAGTAAGCAACTTATTTCAGTACCCATTTTTGAGTTCTATCCATGATTTTATATTGGAGCATTCTTACCTGTTTCAAGTTCTTGTTCCTACAAGCCCCTCTAATCAATCCTGTTCTTTTACTAGTTTGTAGACTTTGGCATCTGATGCTTTTGGGATGGTAATTATCACACTCTTGTCCCGATACTTTCTTTTTCTTGTCTATAAGTTGGGTCCTGGAAAGCAGTTCTATGCATGCTGAAACTTGGAGCTCCTTTTACATATGGGTTGCTCTTCTGAACTTCAAGGTTCAATGAAGCTCAGATAAGCACAGTCTACCTATCCTCTAGATGAAGTTTGTTCCATATGAGTTTCATTTTTTAATTCTTTGCACCTTATTTGATTATGCAGAAATTCACATTGTTATCGAAGAAAAGTTTCTATGGAGAAGATCACGTTTTTGCTCCTGGTTATGGTTGCGTTATTGATTATCTACCAAGTCTCATAAATCTAAGGTAAGTCCCAAGGCTGCTGCCTAATTTTCTATTTTACCTTTTTTATGTGAGAAATGTATGACAGTCCAATGGAGTATGATATGCAGTATTATAGAAACCATCTGTTATAAATCAAGGACTAATCTTCACCATCTGTTTGTTGGAACAGATAGTGGAATGCCATATTCCATACTCCATTGGGTTACTTCTTGTACCTATGGCTTGTTTCATCAACAGCAATTGAGGAATACTTAGCTTCTTGTTGAAATTCTGGTAGTAGTCCCATTTTTAAGCCCCTTTAGTGTTATGTGAACGCCATTTTCTCTAGTAATTTGACAATTAGCTGCAATCCAAATTTCTATTCTGTGTTTACATTGAAAAGGTATTAATCCATGTGGCTCTAAAATTTTGAACTTTGTGAGAAAGGGAAGGGCATTGGTGTGAGAAAGAGCAGCTTTACGTTCTATAACAAGCAACTACCATGATTCTGGATGGCTCTGAGTTTTTGAACTATAGTGGAAGGGCCTTTGTACAGGAAAGAGGTAGTTTCACTTTCCATTCTTACAGAAAGTAACCAATATAATTCTATAGGGTTCTGAAAAGTCAGAACCATGGTAGAAAGAGAGGGCCTTTGCAACAAGACGGGTAGCTTCATTTTCTTATAAGAGGTACCCAATACATTTTCATGTTGATCCAAATTTTGTGCCTTGGCGGAAAGAAAGAGGGGCCTATGTACAGGAAGGGGGTAGCTTCACTTTTTGCCAAAAATTTATCTGTCAAGCTCTTGTTTGCAGAGAGGGCAACAAGATATGATTTTAAGCCACTGATCAATGCATCTGAGGTGAAAGAAGTGTGAGCACGGAAGCTCTCTTAGCTCCTCCTTGTCCATGTACTTGGCAAGGCATATACAACATTCCTATTCAAGCCAACCCAATAAATAAATAAATTTAGTTTCCTTACATTTCGTTATCATAGTAGAAACAACTCTATCATCCATGATATGATTATTGACTACAATGCTGTGGATCTGAAGAAGACTTCAAATATACTGTTTGGAATTGACAGAATCGGCCATATATTTTCTGGAAATGATCAGATTATTTTGTGTGTGCGTGTGTGTGTGTGTGTGTGAGAGAGAGAGAGAGAGAGAGAGAGAGAGAGAGAGAGAGAGAGAG